AATAGTCCCCTAGTAGCGTAGCCAATCAAAATGCAGGATTTGCATTAGTCCACTTGTTGGGTGATACTAATGGCTGACAGTGTTCAATGGCTTAATTAGCCTATCAGATTACAGCATTTGCATTAGTATACTAGTAGAATTCTACTAATAGTAGTTATAAAATAACTGAGATACTACGCACGCTCTGATTGGTCAATAGAGTTGCTAAACCTATGTTCTGTTGTACCAGTAAACCATGGTTCCCAATCTATGGCAGCTCTACGTGGGAACTAGACCACTCGGAACTCTAGGGATAACAAATGTAATAAACAGTTTTGCCGTTCACTGGCTGAGATATCAATAACACGAATATCTTTTCATTCAACATATACATTGAAATTTGCAAGGAAAACAGGACCAGAAGTTGGTCGTCATATAAAGCTTTATCGTTTTTTCCACGGCAAAACTTTTACGCCGACTTCGGTTACGCTTGAGATATCGATTAAGATTAAACCCTTATTTTGGTGCTTTACACGGTCTGTGGAGGACGAAGTCAGCTGCGCTTGACTGATCAATTTGGCTTGTCAAAAAAAGCAGGGAAAAGATTTCTTTCTGTCAGAAATTTTGAGTTTAAACTCAACGCAAGGCATGCATAACACGATAAATGAATTTGATTTCCACGAGCTTAACTTTCAAGCAATAGTTTTCATTTAGCAAAATACAGAGAGAAACACGTAAGTAAATAAATTCTGAATAACTTTCGGAAGCAGCGTTTCTGTTACTAACCTTTATTCCATTCGCAAAACTTTAAAAAGTTATCGTTAAACACGTACTGCATTGAATCACTTCGCCAAGCGCATGCATGAAGTTTGGACTATTTGCACACTTTTCGTACAGCCTTTTACTGTCGTGATGACCTACGAATCCCTGCATTTCCCCGTCAGAATACTTTTGAGTTAACTAATATGCTTTTTGTCTTTCACCGATAACCTCTTCCTCTCCTTTCTTCAAACTTTCTTAGCGTGAGATGTTTTCGTCGCTTTGCTCTGCGGATTTCGTGTCCGGCGCGGAGTCTGCGCTTTCATTCTTTCAGTCGCTGTGATTGGTTTGTCGCGTGATCTCATGAATTTGATGAGAATAAGCAACTTGATCACGAAAGTAGAATAAACGTTCCTCTCACTGACAGACTTTTCCCATAATTATTTCATAAAAGCGATAGACCACTCTTTCTATGGGTTTACCGGCACAATAAACCACTTGGGATGTTGAGAGAGCATTCGAAAAGCTTGTAAATCACTTACGTAACGGATCGTGATTTACAAAAAGCTTGTAAGTCACTCGCCTAACGCCTCGTGATTTACAAGCTTTTTAATTTTCTCGTTTTCCCCCAACATTCCGCGTGGTTTATTGCGCCAGAACCCATAGAAAGAGTGGTCTATTGCTTAACTAAAACATTTACTCCGCCTTTTCTTTTGTGATGGGCATGATGACTATCGTAATAAGGCGAACTAAGAATATCATCATAACTGTAATTAAAGTACCATATATTTTCTGAAATGTTCTGGTCATGATTTTTCAGGCTCGTCAAGTTATCCTTTAACATCAGCGCCCTCAGCCATTTCATCATCCTT